TGAATGAGTTGCAACACGCAGCAGTATAGCAACCAAGTCAGTCAACCATTGCCTTGTGTCACGAATAAATTGCTGGTCTTTCACTCCACGTCGTTGAAAAGCAAAGAGTACACTAATGCATATAAACAACTTTTCCACATGAGGCTGCAAGTGAGGTCCATGTTCCTTCCTCCTGCTAGTACAGATTTTGGCATTTTTAGGAATTTGTATAAAATCTGGACACTCGCTCAAAATCTTTTGCATGTAGTTTTCAACCTGCAGCTTGGACATCTCTGCTTCATAAGCATGGAGAGCATAGGCATCTGAAAGGAGCTCTCTCATGTGCTTCAGCTGCTTATACACGTGAATACATATTTCCTCTTTGAAACAGGCCACATCATACTCATGCTTAACTGTTAACAGACGGCCATCCTCACATTCCCCTTCTTCTCTTGTTGTCCTTTTTTCAAATATCCAAATGTTCTCTCTTTGTTTCTTATATTCCTCTTGGATACTTTGAAGTTCTTTCTGGCTACCAATGAGACTAGTTCTAGCTCGTAAATACCCAAGAACAAGTTCATAAAACTCTAGCCATGGAGTATTCCTCTCTTTTTCTATGAAATATGCTACGTATTTATCATTTTCTTCTAGTTCATTATTTTGATAGAGAGCATTTATCTGAATGTCAGTCATGGGTTGTACAACAGATTCTTTTGGCAACATTATTTTTGTTTTAATTGCTGGTTTTACAATAACACTGTCATCAATTTGAGCACTAGCACTTGTATCAGATTCCCTGGTTATTTCCAATATATTCTCTGCATCATGAAACACAGGGGCACTAGCTTCACTGGTATCACCATATTGTCCATTCATGATAACAGTTTTCTCACTTGTACCATACTGCTCTTGTTCACAACCAATTTGATTATTTGGAGGGATGCCTGATTCATATAACTCACCCTGCAGCCTGTTCATAGGATCATTAATTACAAGATCTTTCAACTGCTGCTGCACTTTAAAGTATGGTTCTATGTCAAACAGTTGCTGCTGTAGATTAGCAAATTCTGGAGCTGAAGACTCTGTGATTGTTCCTAGTTCCTCCTGGCAAGGTGTAGAACTCTCAACAATATCTATTTTGGAGGTTTCATTATTGCATGTATGAGGAGGTGTATAAGTTTCTTCACTTTCTACTAACTGTTCACTGATCTCCACAGAGATTTGGTACTTGCATTCAGGTTCCTCCTCTGGCTGCACCCCTCCATCATCAATGGTTACACCGTCATCTTGCATTTCCATCTGTGGTAGAGGAGACTCTCCATACTCTGTCAGCAGCTCCAGCATGGAGGGGTCCTCCTTGCCATCCTCCTCTTGTGTTCTTGTTTCTACACATTTTTCTTGCACCACTTTCTGAAAGAAGAGTTAGATTCTAATGAAAACTATTAGCATATGGAAAACCTGAGGTGTGATTGTAAGACACAGATGGCTAAACTGTTCTCAAAATACAGAAGTCCAAAAACAATGATAAATTACAGAAAATTAACTTTACGATTGAAAGCGCAATCTGATAATAAAATACTGTACTGTGCTCTACATTATCATCCCAGTTTGATGACTTTATCACTTATCCTTTGTAATGATTGTTTATCAAACCACAACTTACAGCTCAGAGAAATACAACGCATAACAGTAAGTAGATGCCCACGTGGTAACCCACACGTGTCGACACACCCTACAGCGAGAATAAGACGTGACCCAGGAGAGGGCACGGCCACTAGGTACCTAAGTTAACCCAGCGACATGACCGTGTTACTCAAGAAACTACATCTGGACAAGCTGTCCAGACCTGACCCAAGAGAGGTCAGTCTCATTGACCCAGAGTTCTCACCGCCACGCGATTAGCTTAGCCCGGCGACATGACCGTGTTACTCAAGAAACTACACCTGGACAAACTGTCCAGACCTGACCCAAGAGAGGTCAGTCTCATTGACCCAGAATTCTCACCGCCAAGCGATTAGCTTGACCCAGAGACATGACCGTGTTACTCAAGAAGCTACCCTCCAGCGAGTTCACCTGTCCAGACACACCCAGATTTGTGTCGAAATCTTCTGGCTCACGCCAATATAGAGGCCCTGCAGCTCCCTCTCAGGGACAGTAGCATTTGGATCATCTTTGTAATAGGGAGGGAGCCGACAGGAGACATAGTCCAGCACATTGCTGGGGCTCCCTCAGGTCACACGTGAGTCTTTTTCAGAGCGATCCACGGGCGAGTTACTTACGGTGGGAAGTGTAACCAGTTCATGTTTGTGTCCGAGAGTCAGTGTCTATTAACGCCGATATATTGATCTATTAATGTGTCCATGCCATTCAGTTAATTAATAAATACAGCAGTTGTATTGAAAGTGGTGTTTAGAAGATTTCCCCTACGAATATAATACACTGTACAGCTAAATAACTAACCGGCCACGCTACCAAACTTCCTCACTTTATCCTACGAGTAATAACTTCTTACTATACTTTCTACACATAACCCCCCCCCCCCTCCTTCATTACACCTTTAATAAGGTTGGGTAAAATTCTGAAGAGTAAAAAGGAACTGAAGAGTGAACGTTCTTTTTCTTTTTTTTTCACTGTAATCAATAACAAGAAGATTCTGGCCAATTTATATGAATGAATTCCATTATGAAAAACAGGCCTTGATAAGTACAGTAGTCTGAATTTAGTATGAAGATAAAGGTTTTCTTACCTTGAGGAACTGAAAAAACAACAAAGGAGGAAGGCATTTTCTCTCTTAAGAGGAGGAGCCGCCTCTGTCTGCCATGTTTACTTTTATTCTATTATTCATAAAATGAAGAAAACTGATCTACCCAACATAATCTAACTTAAAATACTGTATTAGTCATTTATTATTTCATTCTTCAAAAAATTATAATAACTTCCGGCTATTACTGTATACCATAAACATCAGCTTTCAAGCCTAAATCTTATACTGTACAGTACAGTGACCCCTCGTTTAACGAACGCCTCGATTAACGAAATTTCGGTTAACGAACTGCCTTCCATAAGGATCTTCAATTCGGTTAACGAACAAAAATTCGGTTAACGAATTTCTTACGAACCGACCTCAACATGTTTTCGCTTGCACTGGCCGGGCAACCAGCTTTAGTATCAGTCCACCAATACATTAATCGGTTCTAGGGCTTAAATTCCTAACTATTTTAGTAAATATCAAGAAGTTTATACTATTCAATAATTTTAAAAGTTTAATATTCAATTTTTTAGTCATTTTAACAATTACTGAACATAATTGAAGGTAAAGTGACTAGTTTAAAGCGCAGCATCCAGCCTCTTAACACAGCAAACAGGCGTTAGTCTCTCTGTTTTCACTGGAGGTAACATCTTGCTTGAGACTCTCTTCAACTAAACGCTTTTTTCTGTGTTTCCAAGCAAATTATTGGTCATTTTGAAATATATTTTACATATTGACAATATATAATGCAGTACAGTGTTGATTTAAAGAAAATAATCTTGAAATACACCAAGAGAACTAAAATTTTATGGGTGAAATGGTGCCATGGGGTGACTTCTCTTCCACCCCAATGCCTTCTCTTCTTCCTTCTCCTCCATCCCCATTGTAATTCCCATCATCATCATCATCATCCAGGAGCCTTCTACATACACACCTCAAAGTAAGTGAACTTTTCTACCATTTTTGTTGAATTTAGGAAATTTTCGGTGAGCTGGAACCAATTACCCAAAAACCCATTGAAACAATGGTTTCGGTTAACGAACTTTTCGGTTAACGAACGACCTTCTGGAACGGATTGAGTTCGTTAACGAATCACTAACTTGTATCAAGTTACAGCCTAATTCGAATGCCAGTATTTGCTGAATAATTACTCGGTAGGTGAGTATAATAACCATAATAGGTTCTTTTATTTATGTTTTTATTTCCACATTTTCTCTCTACTTTGAAGCCCTGTTCACCTTTGGTGGGGTCAAGAATGACAGTGTAGGAAGGGTCATAACTCATTAATTATGCATTTCCCCAAACTTCCATTATCACCACTGTATTTGGTATGAAAATCTGCATTAAAGTTTTTCTTTTTCGTGTATAAATTGTTTGCTGGTGTTTACAGAATTGCCAAGATTCTTTTTGTAATTACCACAATCAATCAATCCTCTGTGTAAAAAGAACCAATCCTATAGTCTCGACATGGCATGCAGGCCAGTTTGTCTTTGCAGTCTCTACTGCTGATTTTGGTCATAAAAAGTGATATTATGCAAAGCACATTCCAGGACCACTCTCGACAAATTACCCAGGCTGCATTTACCATTTGATTCCCAGACTTACATAATATCTTAATAAAGAAAAAAGTCATTTCTGAGAACAGCACGACCACCAGAAGGAGTTGTCCGATTTCATTAATTTTTTCCACAGATGTTCTATCATTATACTGCAGTAGGTAAGTATTTTAAAAGAAGTAACAACTTTTTATTTTGATTATAAGTATGTACTAATTTTTTTGTTTTTCTCTATCTATGATCATAAATTACCTGTAGTGAGCAAGGCATGAAGGATAAGGGAACTGTGGGGTAAAACACGGTCAGAAACTGATCATATGACAATAAAATGATGCTTCTATGTGCTTTGTAAGTAAAGAAATTAATTATTTACCGTAAATACTCCTCCAAAAAATTTGCCAGGTCACCACGTGTCGTCTGTTTGCTTACAACTGACTCGCTTAGTCTGAGTGTATAGTACAGTACTCTCATGCATGCCCCCCCCCTAAGAAAAATTACTCCATGACACTTCCACAAAGTTGCTTTCATTGGCACCAAATATCAAAATAAGTATTTTTTGTTAAATATGGTAGAGTGTGCGGAGGGAAGAGGGCGGAGCTAGGAAGTTAGGTAAGATTTGGTAGGTTGCTATGGTTGGTTAAGTCAGACTCTATTAGGTTCTGCGCATTGTCACATCATTTTTATTTCTTCTATGGTATTTTTTGTGCAAATTGATATTAACGGAGAAAAAATTTTGATCAATTAAAATCACCGTTTAAGTTATATTGGAAAATTCATGTACTGCATCCTGAAATATAAGAGTTGTTAAGTTAGGTTCTTCATACACTTTTGGTTTAACAAATAACTACCTAAATAAATGTTGTTTGCCTGTGTTTTGGAACTAAAACAAGAGGGCACAGGTAACTACAATACTTTTCCTCGGCCCATCGCCAACTCGGATCATCACATACCAACTCGGCCCATCTCGGATAACCAACTCGTAACCAGGGCTGCCGATCATCCGACTGTCTTAGATATCAATAAGTCGACTGCAGAACTTCCACTCTGCAACCCTTTGATCATCCGATGTCTTGTCCTTTGATAGTCATGTCAAAGTCAGGTTAGTCGGCGACTTTGTGACTTGACAAGCATTGGATGTCGTTGTCAGGTCTCTAGGCGAAGTGAGGTCGCTCTCTGTGGGTACATTGTGTTAGGTCACCTCACGTGAGGTCATGTAATACATCATCAAACGAGATGCCCCTTCTCTCAACGGCCATGCTGTTGTATCATCACAAATCATCAAAGAATCAACTCTGCATCTGTGTTCTTCTGGCTAAATAAATTATGTCAATATCAATACCAGTAAGTGCCAAAAACGAGTTTACAAGAGCCTCCAGACAAGGCTGAAGACCCTCTGCTAGGACTGCCAAGCTGGTTGCAAGTCAGTCCAATGTGACATTTTTAATTTTGTAATTCATCTATGTACGAGTTTTCACTAACATATGGTAGAATGTTTTAGTTATAGGAAAAGTTATAAATATTTTATGTTATGATGTTGATATAAACATACGGTAGAATGTTTTAGTTAAGGGATGGTTATCCGAGATGGTCCGAGTTGGTAATTGATGGGACGAGTTGGAAGTGTACTGTCCATGAAGCAATCTAAATTTTGGTAATCATTCATAAACCTAAAAGAACCTAACCTAATGACAACTGTATTTCAGGATACATGAATTTTCAAACCTAACTTAATACCAATTTTAAGTGAGCCAAAAACTGCTTATGTCTCCACTAATAAGAATGTGCAAAAAAAAATACCATAGAGGAAAATCGACTTGGAATAAAATTCTTCAGTATTAGAACCTATTGTCATCCTTAAATCAAGGCCATGTGCTAAAATGAACATTAGCCAAATACTAGTCTACAGTGAATATATCAGTAACTTTCTTATCTCTCACTACTGTGCCACAGGTTCATTCCCTGGGTCAAATGTGAGAAGTGTGTTATGCACTGTGACCCTCCCAAACAGGTATTATTTTAGTTTTGGTCATCCGGGGAATCTTAGAAATTTAACCCCCACCAGAAAGGGGGAGGTCTGGGGAAGTGAAGCGCCCCCCCCCCCAAAAAAAAAAATTAGGTAGGATATCGATCTTGGGTTTTGTGACTTGGTTGGGTTACATTAAGTTAGGTTAGCTTGGATATCTAAATACAGGGATGACCGAAACTCAAATTTTACCACCATATATCACATATTTATCTGGGTACTCCAGTTTCCTCCTGTAGTGACACTGGACAATGAAGAAGTTAACAAAGAACAGCCTTACTACCCCAATGAGTAGTAAGCTGACAATGTTAATGACAAAAAATTAATAAAAATAAATACTTTAATAAAACACTCTAAATTTCATGCAGTGTCGCTATCCTAGGCCTCTTCATAAAGCTTTGCTGTCGAAAATTTTTATATGGTTATACAGCTGACTCAGAATTTGTTGGCAGGTGCGTCATTGAGATCAGGTGATGGCGTTGTTACTGGTTGGCACGTCACAGTCATTAACATCACTTAACATTAGTACATACGGCTAAAATCACAATCATTACCTTTACATTGCCTAATTATTTTCATATTAATATTGTATTGGGCAAAATCAATATCAAATAATTGTATTACTATTAAAATTACCTTGGAGCGACTAGACCTCTTCCTCACAGCTTCAGCCATTCAGCTGGTGTAAACAAACAACTTGAAACAAGGGTCTTCCTCCACCACTATCGTACCAGCGTCAGCAAGTTGTTGTGCTTTGTGTATATTGTTGTACTTTTTTTTCAACCTTAATACCTCAAGAAATATATCCCTTAAAACCTATTATTTTATAGTGGACACTGTTGTAGTTTGTGAAAATGTGTTAAAAAATGGATATCCACCCGGGCGGGGAGTGATTTACTGTGATGGCGTTAAACCTCGAGTCGCGGCATTGAGGAAGTGATGAAGGATTGTGCCGTGGTCTCGATGAATGTGGCAGAACAGGTAGGGTGCAAAGTAGTGCTTGTAGTGGTAATCCCTGTTGCCAGCCCTCACAACCCAGGACTTTATATCCTTCCACAGCCATTCTACAGTGTTAGTGTGCACTGTAGTAACAGGGTCAACAAAGTTTTTGCTGTGGTTTATAGTTTGGTGGTTAGAACCCAAGGACCCCAAGTTCGAGTATGCTTTCCAGCAATCACTGTAGATAGTGGTGCCTTGAAATTTCTGGCAAGGAGGAACTAGGGTGTTGGCATCTCTTTTCAACTGGCACAACAAACATGCGTCCCATCCACGCTCGGTGCCGCCAAAAACCCAGACACCCTTCACTAAGTGGCCACGTTAGAATTTCCTCATTCAAAACTTTCGTAAATTTCTACTATTTTATTTGGGCCGCCAATAGGTTCCAGGTTTTCTATCCAGTGCATACACACCTCACTGCAAAAATGTTTCCAGTCAACAACAGACTTGGGGCTGAAACCCAGTTCTATTTCACAATATTTCTGTGTAAAAAACTTTTGTTAAAATTTTTTTAATAAATAAAATGAAAACACTGGGCTGAATCTTGACATTTTCCTGACGATTGGTAACAGTGTACAGACAAACAACAGGCAGATAGACTTTTACCAGGTCACAGAAACACACTTGTGCACTATAGGCTTCTTTAATAATCACTAATTCTTCACAACACTTCACTGGGTCCATTTTCACAACTGGGCTTCACACTTCAAATATATACAGTCAACACACTACCAGTGTGCAATGCCTTAGTCTTTACACTTTATATCACTCAAGACAATACAACACTTATCACTAGGCTTGTAATTCACACTCTAAACAGAAATGATCGACTCACTTCAAGGCTGCCCACTGCCACTTTTATACCTCATCAGATGCCCCTAGCACCAAACAGACATGTCTGGGAGGTTCTAGAACGTTCTACTCTGATCGAGGCTTACAATAAGAGGTTAAACATAACAAGAATGATGCAATACATCTAAGAAAATTCTTACATAAATAATACATCAATATGTACAAGAAAATCTCCCCAAACTTGCCAAAATAACTGCTGCTTGGGATAGAAAATAATCAAAACACCTAGTTTACAAAAATTACAATACCAAATTATGCCTCGGCATAAAACTACCCCCTCCCTAATCCTTGTGTCGTCCCGACATAACTATTCACTATACTGTACAGTATACATAATAATCCTGCCGCCGACGTACTGGGATGTCTTCAGGGTCCTCCCTTGGGACAACAACCTCAATCACATCCTCAGATTGGTCCCCCTCTCCTGTCACGTCCAATTCTGCTAAGTAGGAACAGTGCTCCTCTTCCTAGTCCATGGTCGGGTTCCCTGGATCCGTACGGCCCTGAGTTCTTCCAGGATCTCCAGCCTGGTCCTCGTTGGTGATCAGTGATTGCTCCTCAGAGTCTTCCTAGGTGTACTGCCCTGGCCCATGAAACTGCCACAGGCGATTGACATGGACTACCTTCGGCTGAGCTTTCCTTCTTCCCCTGATCCAGTAGGTCACTTCTGAAAGGCGTTCCACTACAGTGTATGGTCCTTCCCATGGACTCTGCAACTTCGGTGACTGACCCTTCTTCCGCACAGGGTTATATAGCCAGACCTTATCACCGTCCTTGTAACAGACCTGGCTTGCTTTGACATCATGGTTGCACTTCATCATTTTACCCGAGAACTTCAGAGCCCCTCGAACTTGATGGTGGACCACCATTAACCTTTCTTGGAGGTTTTTGACATAATTGGTGGTTTATTCAGGAAGTTCTTCATCAGGTGGTCTTCCTGTCAGCAGATCCACTGGCAGCTGCAGTTTTGCCGGTGCGTATCCAGTTGACTCGTGGGCAGCCGACTGATAAACCATCAGCAGAGAAGGCGGCTTCTGGTCCCATTCTGTCTGCCCCTCAACACCATACTTGGTCAGTTCTTGTCCCAAGGTTTAATTAAACTTTTCCACCATTCCATCTGACTGTGACTGAAGTAGTCTTCCTTATGCCCAACAGTTTACAGCACTTGCTGAACACAGCTGACTCAAATTTTCTGCCCTGGTCCGAGTGCAACTCGTGGGGCACACCAAATGGGCAGAAAAACTGGTCGACCAGCACCTTCGCAACCGTCATGGCTTCCTGAATTTGGAATAGTATATGCTTCTGGCCACCTAGTGAATTAATCCATGGCCATACAGAAGTACGTATTCCCATCTGCAGTGAGTGGCAGAGGTCCCACAATATCCAGTGCTACCCTCTCCATCGGTGCGCCTGCATGGTACAACTGCAGTGGGGCATGCGTGCATAGCTTTGGTCCCTTCTTGGCGCAGCAGACATCACATGAACGGCACCATTCTTCCGCATCCTTACACAAGCCAACCCTATAAAACCTTTGCCGCAGGCGACTCTGGGTTTTCTTCCCTCCCAGTTTCTCATGAGGCATTGTGCCTGTTGATCTGGTGCAAAGTTGCGACGGTACGACCTGCTCAACCACATGTTGTACAGTATATGACGCAAAATTAAGGCATTATGCTGTAAGTATTGCAAATGTTACTGACCAGATACTACTTGTATGAAACCTTTTGTGGTAGCCTAACAATTATGTACTGTAGTGTATAAACTACCCCATCATTCTACATATGATAAATTTTCATATACCTATATGAGTGGTAAAGATAATGTCTATTTGAACGAGAGATTACAGTAAAAACCTATTTTCTGGAGAGTTTTGTTATTTCATAATGGATGCAGTAGGTATAAGATCATTGCTTTACTCACAGTAATTGCTATTTCATATAATGAAGCTCGAAATATGTGGTTTTATTTATAAATGTTTCATATTAACTTGAAGGTAACATTTGAATAAACCTGTTCAAAACTTTGATATAAAGAATTTAATTTAATTTTGACTGGTAATTCACTTGGATGGGTAGCAGATATACTAAATTGGAGTTCTGTTGCTTCACTGAGGTCGAGACAGTCATTTTGATATTCATGTTGCCATACTTTAATTGAATATGGCATAATTTGTGATAGTCCGACTGGCGCCCACACAGTTCCCGAAGGGTATTCATACAAAAGTGCATTTTTTGAGTATGACCATTGGTCAGAAAGTCTGTCTAAGTTTTTGTAACATCTAATGGTACCCTAAAACAATCAAGAGAAACCGAGTACCCTTGTATATGCCATTTTGCCATATGACCGCCTCAGACAGTGGCCTATAAGAAGCAAAGCAACTAATGAGGTCATATAACAACACTATTAGATATTAATTTTATTTTCTTCTAGTTAGGGTCATGAAACAAGCTGGGGCATAGTGAATACTGTGTATTGTGATATACAGGGTGTTTTGGAAATATATTTCATAATTCAGGGGGTATATTCCTGAGACATACATAAATTTAAATGACTCAATGACCATAGTGTCAATACCCCATAGGTTTGGGGTTATACCACAAAATTGGATCGAGGAGGACTGAAACAAGTCTATGGACAGGTGAAACATACAGGTACACACATTTTCTTGAGGACAATTTGCCAGTGATGGTTGAGGATGTGCCCATCAGGGTACATCAACAGCTTTGGTACAGTCGTGGAAATGTGTTCCTACATCCCCTGTGGTAACTCGTGTCTCCAAACGTCAAAGTTGCAGTACAGTACTGTAGTAGTATTGCAATTTATGAATGATTGGGTATTGGTTGTGTAACAATGGATGTGATTAGTGGACAGGTTTGCTTTAGGTCATATAAGTTGGCCGTTTGGAGGCAATGGTTTACCACGGGGTGTAGAAACACATTTCTGCAACTGTATATGCATTATGGTGCTCCACTTCATTTTGCTCAAGTAACAAAGGAATTCTTAAATGTTGGGTATCCTGGCAGGTGGATAGGGCGTGGCAGCCGTGTTCTATGATCGCCTCAATTTATACAGTACACTATGTATGTATGTATGTATGTATCTTAAAAACAATCCAAAGTAGACAGACAATTCTTCGATAGTAAAGCATTGGCTGGTTATTAATGCCATCTGATATATTGTCCTTTTCAGTGTGATACCATACAAGCAAGTTAATGCTAGGCATTTACATACCTAGGTATAAAGCTAGACGTCACATTCTGGACTACTGTATATCACAAAAGCTGTTTTCTAGAAAAACACAGCTTTTTTCGTACTGTATTTCCATAAAAGAAATACTGTGCAGTAAAACCTCCATAATTTGACTTAAGAGATTTTATAAAATTTGAAGGATACCTCCCGAGGGAAATAAACTTTATTTTTCTTATCTGCTCCAATCAAAATTTAAACATTTATAAGTACAGTACCTCAGTACCAGATTTAGGTGCTTGGTCCATGGTTATCAGACAAAATGGATCAAACACTGGGCAATGATGGAAAAACAAGAGGAAAAAAAGCTTGCACAGTAGAGCATAGATCTACACTCCACGACTGACCAACATGCACTGACTGTGACCGACAAGTGTGATATGTGTAATACTTGTACGTACTTTGTTTACATTGAGATGAACGGTCAGCAGTCACAACCCATGGTAACATGTGCAGTATATATATTCATAAATGTGTCTCATAATTAAAATTTTTACCATATACAGTACAGTACAGTACTGTACTGTACTGTACTGTACTGTACTGTACTGTACTGTACTGTACTGTAATGTACATGCATTATGAAAATTTTAATATGTACAGTACAGGTGCTCCTCTACTTAAGAACGTTCAACTTACAAATTTTCAGAGATACAAACATCATCACTGAGGAGGATTACCTGCCAGAACAGGTGTTTAATGTGGATGAGACTGGATTATTTTGAAGAAAATTCCAGATAGAACAAACATTACCTAAGAGGAGAAGAGTGAGCCAGGATTTAAGGCTGTATTAAAGGGTATAGCTGTACTAAATATCCATAATCTTTTCATTTTTACATTATGTTTGGTATCTACAAGAGTAAAGTTGGACTTACAAACAAGCCTCAGGAACGTAACTTGTTCATAAATAGAGGAGCACCTGTATATCATAATACTGTACAGTATTTTAAAATGTCTCTCATATTTAAAAATTGTATCAAATATTACAAAATTTTTAATGCTGTACTGTATACTGTATATTTTGTAACAGCAAAACATTACGAATTATGATTTATTTTAAATTAGAGGAGTACTAATTATGGGGTTTTAATGTTTTTTTTTTTTTTTTTATTCATTTGCTATTCATTCATTCACTCTTACTATTGTAAAAAATAATTTCAGGATGCTAGTCTACAAGTTTGTGCCAGCACTGCAAAGTTCCCCCAACAGTATATAAGATATTTATTGGTGAGTGTGCAAGGGCTATTGAACAAAGAGGAAAGCCAGTCATCCCAACTGTTCAGGAATTGAACCTGTGACTATCACCGTGAACACTCTAATGAGCTACAGAACTCTCTTGATAATATAATAAATTAATACAAATACTGTATAATCAGATTAAAAGATAATCAATTTAATTATACTACTTGTACAGTACAGGATTTTAAAAATAATTAGGATGTACAGTACCAACAATCTTTGTTACTCTGAAGGCTCACTCATTCTTGGGAAGACTTTCTCGCCTTACTTTCTAAAAACAAAACTTAAGCTCATCCATCTTAAATACATTAAAAATTTTAATAAAAAAATTAGATATAAAATTACCGACAACAATAAAGTAAATAGTCTAAAAGCCTTAAAACATTGCTATTGTGAGGATGAAGATGACTGGGGAGACTTATAGTTTCTGATCAAGATGGAACCAAAGGAACCAAAGTTCTGCAAACGTGACAACAGCTCGGCATTCTCTTGCTGAAGTTTTGTCAATTGTTCAGTTGATAGAGTCATTGCTTCTCCACTTGAGTAACTTTCATTATAAACCACTGACACTTGCAAACCTGGTAAGGTGAAAAAAGAGAGAAAAGAAAAAAGTTTCAAGACTTGTTTATCAAATGTACCGTATCTATCAAATTACAACCCAGTTTTGAAATCAATGAAAAAGAGAAATTTGCTTATTACGTATAGTATTAGATTTCAAGTGACAAATTAGTAACAGTTGGACCTCTAATTTTGCATGTACTGTATCATTTAGGATCAATGCAATCACTAAAATTTAGTAGCAGTATAACAAAAGCTATGCAGTCTGGATACCAGAACATTTTATAATTGTAGGTTTCAAAATGGTACTTGCATCATACTATACAGTACAGTACTGTATTTCCTTTTAAAGCACAGTACTGCTCAATATATAATTTACACAAATGTTAAAAAAATATATACTAACTTCTTTGTTTTTCATCACATCAAATTTTCCTTCGGAAAGAATGAGTCACAATCCCCTTTTGCCATGTCAATTTTAATGAACATAAATGAAAAAACAAGTAAATAATGAAACATAAAAGCACTGAAATCTTATAAAGTTTGGAAAATGGGTTTTTATAACATTCAAGACACCTAAGCTTATTTTCTATTGTGAAAAAAGGATGTCTAATATCCATTATGATAAAGCATAAGTATCATTTTTTAACAGTGAGTGACATACACTTGGGATATGGATGGCATTGGCAAGTAGATGGTAAATATATACTACTGTAGTTACTATTAACTTTTTACAGTTTGTTTTACATTTTAGTTAAACAATATCAGAATGGACCTACTATCAGCAGGTGTGATGACTGTTTGGTTCCCCTGCAACACTTGTAGCTGTGATTCTTCTAAGATTCCCTGCTCCTCTAAGTTGCTGTGATCCTCCATAGGTAACAGCCCTTCACTGCTCTCATCCAAATCTATCTCACCATCAGACCTCAAAAGCTGACTGTCTGAATTTTGTAAAAATGGCTGGAAAATATTAAGAGATAATTCTTTATCAGTTTTCAGAGTAAAAACATAGTTCTGATGCCATCAATTGTTAAGTTCCATACACAAAACACAGAACCACACTTACTTAGTACTTTGTTCTTCAACAATGCAGTAGAAAATTTCCTGTACAATCCATACACAAAGCTAGTTTGAGTCAGGACCTGTAGATTAGCTTAATAAAAAATGTATTATCCATAAAGATGCCTCTCTGAATGGGACTTGAAATCCAAGGCCAGTTCTATAATTGTTCACTAATAGTATTTATTCACTGTTTTAAGATTGATGAAAGCATCTACAGTATTATAGAATATTAAATGCAATAAAAGAAACATTTTATACTCAACATAAGAAGATCCTACTCCTAAGCTGCTGTTGAAGAATAGACTTGAGGTGCATCTGGACTATCATATAATACACAGAACAATGCAGAATGAGAAAGAAATTGGCTGGAAAATAAATTATTATGACTACAAATAAGTGATACTTATATAACTAACCCTGTTAGAATAAGCAGTCTTGTTTATCAGAGCTGTAGTCCTGGTCCTGCCACAAGTTATGTGGTGTAGACACCCTCCTGAAGCTACCTCTCCAGCCTCCAGTGAAATGTTTACAGGGCTGGCACCACTGAATACTTCTCCTTCAGACACAGTATGACATGTGACATCAGTCACCTACAAGTGGAAGGGGTAAAGGAAAATTCAACATCATCATGATGATATATGTGCTAGTGTGGCTTATGAATAAATAATATACCTGTACTATTTACTGTATTGTACAGTAATATAAATACAGTATATACAGTATATATCAGAAAAAATAAGATAGTAGGGGTATACAACATTCTGTGTGGGGAATGGAGTACATCTGAGAGTAACAGGTGGTTTGGCAACACACCTTGACTTGTCGGACTGCTCTATACCTCACTGCGGATATTTAAATCTCACAAGTGTTCCAACACCAAAAAATGAAAGTTTAGAAAACAATATTTAGTTCATACTTATACAATGGAGGGTTTGTATGTAACGAAATGAAGTGAAAAAACAACAACCTATGTCTGGGTGCATAGCTTAGGAGAGAGGGTGACAGGTAGAGGAGGAGGGAGGAAGTGTTGGTTGGACTAAGAGGAAAACTCGCCTCCTGCACCTGTCAGCCTGCAATCCCTTTATAACAACAGTATGCAATTTCACCATAATTCCCATATTATTTGGGTTCATTTGGTGCCAGGTTAAAAAAACATTATGGGATCGTAAAATAAGCCGTTTTTTTTCTAAAAAACAGTTTTTGAGATACAGTTCCGAATGCAACGTCTAGCTTTGGCAACCACTTCCACCTGGGGCAAAAGTGTTGGTTACTACGAGTAGAAACAGGCTGCTGTCGACTCCCACGCAGCTGATGGATGACATTGAGTGTAAGGATGATCCAAACAGGCCTTCGGTAACATTGGTAAGATCTAAGTCTTCTTTGTTTTTGACCACATCTGAGTCTGTGGATTCCTTATTCAAGGTATTTTATGAAAATGTTTCTAAACTTCCTGATCTATCAGCACTTACAAAGAGACAGGAAGGCCAAGCAACTGTGGGTCATCATTCATTGTTTTTAGAAGGTGATACTACAATTTCTTGGCCTGATATTTGCCCCAAAATGATCTCTGAAATAGATGAAGTCTGGGCTAATATATTGAAAGACTTAACATTCATTCCCGCAGATAGGAATGCTCACAAGTTTAGTTTTCTGAAGTTCCAATTTAATGACAAAAAGAGTTCCTTACATAAACTTTCCCAGTATTTGTCGTCTCCAAAATATGCTGATTTAAGTTATGAAATAAATTTGAAACCAGTTGCTTCTGCACTGTTGCTTGAAGAGTTCTAATTTAGGAAGTTGGCAGCGGATATTTGGTCTGCAATTATGATGTTTCAGTTATTGACTAAGTTTGTTCTGGACTTTGAGGACAGTTCAGAAGTAGACAGATTTTTGCATCTGCTATACAAGGGATTCCATATTCCCTGTACAACTCATTTTTGGAAATGTTGTTGAAAGCCCTAAAACTAAAAGCCCAGCTAAGGAAGCAAGCCACTAATAATGCTTCAAGTGGTAGTGCTTATTTATTGCTACATTCTTCCCCTCTTTCTCCTGCCTTGCATTAGTTAAGTATAGATCAGCTGTTGAGCAAGCTATTAATATTACTGTTCCCAGGAGTCCTAAGACCTTTTGGAAATATAAAAGAGGAAGTTCTAACAGGGAAACAGGCACAGCTGCTAGGTTCAGTTATCAACCTAGAGGAAACTTTAGAGGAGGAAACAATTCAAGACATAGTAAGGGTGGCCGTAAGTGGAAGGAGACGTGTGTGCATGAATCGTGGGTATACAAAGAACATAGATTCCCTGTATATACCCTTCCGATTAAATATTCTTGATTACTGTAAAAACATATACAGGTATCATCATTTAGATATATTTGGGAGATTCAAGTGGTGTTCTTTGGTCTTTTATTCTTAATTTGACAAAACATTCTCTTAAATAAGCTTCTTATTATCAAATCCAAGATCCTAGTATTTAGCCCTCACTCCCCTCTTAAATGTGGCTATTTTTAAGTAACCCTCTAAAACCATTCTTTTGTTATATGAAACAAATCAAGATTCCATTAAACATACGGTACTACAATTTCTTAAGCAATAAAAATAAAATGTACAAACCTCCACTGATGATGATATAGTAACATCAGATGATGATTGACATATGACTGATGGAGTTTCTACAGAAATAAGGTTCCTGCAGTCTTCAGGCACCATTTGGGTTTCCACATCTACTATATCTCCACGTTTCCTGTCTGGTATATACACCTGAGTGCTCTGGTCTAGCAGCCTTGGAGATGTTGTGTCCGGTGAGTCTGGAGAAGCAGGTGTTACCAGTATGTCTGAGAAAACACAGTAAGGCATTGGTCTTGGTTCAGGTTGGACTGGAAATAATGATGAAGGTGAGGGAGTCCTGGGAGCATTTATCACTTCTAACTGGACTTGCTGTGGTGGTGGAGACTGTGAAGGAGTATCACGTTGTTTTATTATTTTTCCAGAATGGAGAGGTGATTCTGTTGGCGTGCATTCTGGAGTGTCATTCGTTTTCATTTTACTTGGAGAGGATCCAGGAGTTGCAGTTGGAGTCTGTGGTTGCTTAATGTCTAACACTGGTATTCTGGCTGGTGGTGAAGACTGTGGGGTAGTAACAACTTTCTTACTATCATCATCATCATCATCATCTTCAACGGATATTTGAGGTGTGAATAGTGTTGAAGTTTCCATTCCTCTTGGTGGTGGGGATGGAGATGGAGTTTTTATCTGTGGATAAATAGTTGCTGTTTAAGTGTTTACATTAAATACTTAATTAGTTGATAAGTGTACAGTATTACTAATTTTAATTCCAAGCTAATACAGTTGATTCCCAATAGTTACTGATACAAATACTGTATTACACACAGTATTTAATGATTCCCAATATCCTAACTGATATCAGTGTATTTAAAATTATGAATATTGTTCATAGTGGAGAGATGGTAGTCTGGTAGTGAAGGAAACGCGGTTAAGAGATGGAGCTTTTATTCCTGACATTTTATCTTGTAACAAAACATCGGGGATAAAACTCCAAAACTCCTTCACTACCACACTACTAGTATTTGAAATTAATTATTCTTAAATTTTGAAGAGCATCCCATGTGAGACATGTCTCTGACAGACAATGAAATGAAACCCAAACATCCCAACAGTTTCTACTATTATATAAGATTCTTGACCAATAGACTGCCTCAATACAAACCTGTTTTAAAATAGATGGTTCAAGTAAAGGTTCTTCAATGGAATATGAGGGAGATGCTACCCATGAGGAGCTGCTTGATGTGTCCTTACTCATACTATGAGAAGATGATGGTGAGGTTCCAACTGAGATTTTTGTTAGTGCTTCTGGTTCATCATCTCTAACCTGTAAATTATAAAGGTTTTGAATATTAGTTCAGTCTCTAAGTTAACTCAAAACTTCTAATCCTTTTGCACAAGCAATTAGTATAAAATATAGCACTGTACATGTATGGTGAAATTTACAGGATCCTTTCTCTTATTTTGAGGTTAATTTAGTCGTACCAATGCTCTGCTATCCAGAACTGACTGACTGATGTTTTTCATGTACTTATGTGGATTACAGTATTTTGTTCATGTTTGGCTTATATTCATCACAGTTGTTATATTTTTATAAGAAACACCTAGTTTGTTTTTGGTTAAGATGCCATACACAATTTAAAACAACATGGACCAATGAACATAGGACCATAGAAAAGTGTAAGGAAGCAGGTGGGTGTAGGGTGGAGAGTGGGAAGTGACATATTCTGTGGAAGTTGTAATAACTTTAGTTACACTTAGTTGGCTGTTGGTTGGCTAAGTGGTGCCTCTACTCACTTTAACACTAATCAACTGTACAGATAATTACTGTACTTTCCATATTCCATTATCATTATGGCTGTTTCTCTAGTAATTCTTCAATAATTACATATATATATACAGTATACAGTACCCTGTATATATATATAAATTTCCACCAACTTCTGACATTTTAACATTAAATTTCCCGTATTCTAGTCACAGCTTCTCACTGAACAATAGATATTAAAGAATATTGTGATAAACCTAACTACTGTATATATAACACCTGTACTGTACAGTACCCAAGTACAGTACTGTATTAATATTCTTTCACTTTAGTTATTTATTTTTTACTTGAAGTTATTTGTATAAGCACAAAGGTGAGTGTTAATAAACAGGTACTGTACTACCTGTAGTGATAAAAAACTATTTCTTGTTATGAAACAGAGTAGTGTAAACCCCTTGATGAATTAGGATACAGTAAGTACAGTATATGTAAAACCGACTAATAAAACAAATCAATAAAAAAAATCGATTCTGTTGGCATAGTGTCAGTAAAAATCCATAAATAAATTTACTATACCTGTAATAATCTAACTTGTATCTGTGGAATTATCAATATAATACAGGTGTATTCTAAATCCATACCTGTGAGATTACGACATTCAGTCTCTCCCGCACTAAACCTCCCAAGATCGCTCGGGCTGCTCTCATCACATTCTGAAGAGACAATAAAACTAAAATAATATACACTTATGAAAATAGGTTCTTGTTTAATCCTATAGATAAGCAGTTCAGAAACTCATTGCAGCAGTTCAAAATCCCAGGGTGTGCTGTAAAGTGTTTTGTTTGTGACTATACAGGACTTGTAGCAAGTCTTCAAAAGAACAAATATACATCAAAATTTTTGAAGGGATGATGCATTAAAGCATTGTACCTTATAATGTATATACAGTATTTTTGAAAACCCATAAAAACATCGCCATCCTTAATCTATATCAATACTTAGTTGTTTAAATAGCCTGGGTATTGCCGAGAAAGTAGGGCGACAACTCTGGTCTGTTGTTGAATTCACAAGGTGCACTGGAAGACCTTTACCCACCTGAGTTTCATCCTTGTCCCACTCTTTGTCCTGTTGGTCTTCTTGGGCATTAACTGCATGAGACTCAGCCTGGGTATCCAAGATGCCAACAGCTTGGGTCTGCTCCCCCTGCACCAATTCCCTTAGTCGTTCTTCAAGCCTGCAAAAATCTCTTGTTCCATAATGCACATCCCTATTTTTAAATTAAAGCAAACTTCAACACCCCGTATAGTTTTATAAATGAATCTAATACAGGAACTGTACTATAACAGAAGTGTCGGATACGTATGGTCTTCATTACAGGTATGCCCAATACAATATACAGGTACTGGACAAATCTTAACTACAAATTTGAAACTGGATGATAAAAAAGAGTACAGTACATAAAATGTTCAAATATTTACAAGGAATACTCTGTATACTGTACATGTATACATACAACAGAATCAGATATAGATAAAATATTTTCCCAGGTTAGTTTACTTATAATCAATAAATGTTCAAACAGAATCAAATAAACTTTTCCTTTTAATTATCTTTGGACTAAATTGAAAGAAGAAGCTAAGTTCTGAAGAGTTGAATTCGATTTTTCTAGCCAGTGCTCTGTAAGATTTAATATATTTAATAAGTTTCACAAGTTGTAACATTTTTGAACAGTTAACAGTAATAATAAAAAAGAAATATAACATAAATGATTGACAAGCCCAAAAGACAGGTATGATTGTTTGTGAGTAAAAGAGAACTGTTAGGCTGAAAGCTTGTCATCTAGAAATGCATGGTGTCAATTGGTATAGTAGTCACTGAATGAAAAGTGATGAAAACTGTCCACAAAATGATGCATTGGGAAAGTTTAGAGGATTAAATGGTCAAGACTAGTGTCAGATAGTATACCACTAGTTACAGGGGGTGCATATAGTCAACAGTAGATGGCATGGAGGTGGCAGGATAAAGTAATGTCATGGGAAGTAAGGGGCAAGAGCTTGACTCCCTTTGCTGCTTCATTGGTGTGTAGGTGACCATTCCACAGGTTAGTAAATGGCATTTCTAGTGATAGGTTATTTTTATCATTGTGAGTTTATGACAAATCCTAGTGTTAACTTAGTACAGTATCTCTTTTTATTTCATGATATGTATAATAATTTTGTTGAATGGAATTGTTAGGCACTTATAGTTAGCTTTGTTTGGATTGTGGACAGTACAGTATATTGAACTCTACTGAATAGTTATCGGTAAACTATAACTTAACATAACCTACGACTTCACTGAACATAACTAATTGTAATGTAATTTGAAGAGAAACTGAAACATTCTTTAGTACAGTATTAACATAATAAAATTAATGTAATAATTAGAAAATTAGTAGTGTAACTAATTATGACCCTGCACTTGCTGCTGACAGTTTCAAGTGTGGGTCTAGAGTTTGCTCGACTCTCAGACGTCAGACGTAGATGTAACATGGAAGGAAGGCTGGACTGTGGACTTCATCTAGCAGTGGTTCCCAAACCCCAAAAGGGGTTGCAAGATGCATCTTAAGGGGTCGCACAGTGTTCTTGGGGTCGATGGGGGTCCCATACAGCTCATAGTCCAGGTGTCAAGGACAGAAGAACATGCCCCAGGTGCTGTCTCGTTAAGTCAGGACAATAAATTATGGTCAAGGAAATAATGCAGTTACTCTCCCTGTGTCAGTCCAGGGAAGACGAACGCTGATGAAACGTTACGCAACAAAAGATGGCAGCAAATTTCAATGATAGATTCCTCGAGTTGCTTCCCAAGTCTTTGGATTTTGTTCAGTTTCTGTTCAAGACAGCTGTAAAACAGTGTGGCTCTTTTGTCCCCGAAATAGCAGAATTACAGACTGGCAACGGGGCAAGGATGAATTTTGCAATCTACGATGACATATCAATGCTTTGGGTTATTTATCAAATTGACATTCAGCGGTTAAAAATCAAACTAGCAAGAATGTAATACAATTTGGAAGCTCCTATGTCTGTGAGGCACCTTTCCTGTCAATAGTGTCTATAAAAAAATTATTACCATAACCGCATATCAAACTTAAACTTAGAAAATTATGTGCTAAGTTGTTTAATCACATAATTATACCCCCAGTTAACATATTTTTAAAAAAAATAATACACACACGATACATATGAATTATGACAGATGTAACTTGAATTGAAAATTAATTATATGCTGATGCACACATGTCACATACGAAATATGTACTGTATGACATATTTGTAACTAAGAAAATTGTATGATAGATTGCTTAACCATGTCATTATATCCCCAGGTATAGAACATTAAATTATCAGAGAAAGATGTCACATATTAAGCATGACAAAGTTTAAGCCTGTTTCTGCCAGTGTTTACTTTTAGACTTCTCAATTATGTAATATATTTTCCTTATTTGTTTTATAGTTAAAAACGTATATCAATACAGTGACCCCTCGGTTAACGAACTCAATCCGTTCCAGAAGGTCGTTCGTTAACCGAAAAGTTCGTTAACCGAAACCATTGTTTCAATGGGTTTTTGGGTAATTGGTTCCAGCTCACCGAAAATTTCCTAAATTCAACAAAAAGGGTAGAAAAGTTCACTTACTTTGAGGTGTGTATGTAGAAGGCTCCTGGATGATGATGATGATGATGGGAATTACAATGGGGATGGAGGAGAAGGAAGAAGAGAAGGCATTGGGGTGGAAGAGAAGTCACCCCATGGCACCATTTCACCCATAAAATTTTAGTTCTCTTGGTGTATTTCAAGATTATTTTCTTTAAATCAACACTGTACTGCATTATATATTGTCAATATGTAAAATATATTTCAAAATGACCAATAATTTGCTTGGAAACACAGAAAAAAGCGTTTAGTTGAAGAGAGTCTCAAGCAAGATGTTACCTCCAGTGAAAACAGAGAGACTAACGCCTGTTTGCTGTGTTAAGAGGCTGGATGCTGCGCTTTAAACTAGTCACTTTACCTTCAATTATGTTCAATAATTGTTAAAATGACTAAAAAATTGAATATTAAACTTTTAAAATTATTGAATAGTATAAACTTCTTGATATTTACTAAAATAGTTAGGAATTTAAGCCCTAGAACCGATTAATGTATTGGCGGACTGATACTAAAGCTGGTTGCCCGGCCAGTGCAAGCGAAAACATGTTGAGGTCGGTTCGTAAGAAATTCGTTAACCGAATTTTTGTTCGTTAACCGAATTGAAGATCCTTATGGAAGGCAGTTCGTTAACCGAAATTTCGTTAACCGAGGCGTTCGTTAAACGAGGGGTCACTGTATGTCCATATTTACTCTAAGGATACTTATATATACAGCATATGTAATGATTCAGGGTCCCACTGGATAGGAGACAGTACTAGAAGGGGTCGCACTGGAAAATGCTTGGGAACTCCTGGTCTAGTGGGAAGCTGGTAACCTCCCTTACCATGTTGGCACCTGAGAGGAATTTGCCAGAACTGCCTGGTGTTGCCATAGTCCACAGGAGGCCACTGGAGTCAACATAGTATGTGTAAGTGAAGAGTACTAGAATAGTGAAGGGTTTGGGTTATAATGGACTTACCATATTCTTCAGGAAAGCAGGCACAGAACTTTATCCTTGTGTGTTGACTTTTACAAAAGATCACAGGAAAATTCCAACTCTATAATCTTAAAAAGCTCTTCTTATGTAAAGATAAAGATTATTAATGAAATACTGTACTAGCATTTTATCATAGAGAAGGTTTAAGTAAGATGGTTGTAAATATTTACATTTTATTACTGTATACTGTATATGTTTCTCTTGCTGTACCTTGCTGGTTGGGTAATGAGGGATAACTAGACAGGACTTTTGATCCCCAGTCTGTGAAAGTTCTCTCAAATTTAGAGACACTTTTTGTCTTTCCAATATGGGACGGAAGTGTATAATGTATCATGGATTGGTGGTGCCCCGAATAAATAAACATAAAAACTGTGGTAATCTTTAGCTTCTGCATCACCATTATGTTTGTGTATACTTTACTCTTACTACCCTAAAGTTACACAGTAATATAATATTGTATCATCAGAGAGGAGAGAATGACAATGATGATGCAAAGACTAAAAGAAATACAGTATAGGTAAAAAACAAATAAATGCCCCATCTTACCTGTTCAAGATACGTAGCCGTAGATCGTGCTGACACAATCTGTCTTCGGCCTCAATTCGTATTCTTCTGGCATTTTCCTCACCATCTTCATCTCTAAGGTCTTCCACAGCCACCTCTTCCCACCTCATTTCTGGCATATATCCAGGTAGGTTCCCTTCGTGGTCATCATCATCTTTGCTTTTATCGTTAACAGCACCACTACCACTTTGTTCTTGATTTCTACTGATGTTTCCTCGCCCACTCTCATATTCAATTAAATATATAACATCTGGTTCAGCATTGTGCAAACCTTCTGTTTCCTGTGGTTTATCATAACTATGTAACTGATGACCACTGTCTTCTACACCAGTTGCTTTAGCTATATCAGCAGAGGAGGCATGGGGAGATGGTGGTCCTTTAACATCAATATCACTGTTGTTACCTTCTGATGTAGAAGTTGACCGACCACCCATTTCTGTCTCAGATTTATCAGTAAAGATACAAGACTGATCATATTCAGCCTTCCTGTTAATATTTTCTGAGGAAGGTTCCTCTAAGTGGAGGCTTTCGTGTATTATTTCAACCACTTTGTGCTTTTTCTGTGGCTGGATAGGAGTTTCCCTTGGAGATATTGAAATGCCAGGAAGTGATTCTGTGATATTCCCTCTTGGTATGTCCACACTTGCCTGAGTAGAAATTTTAAGATTATGTTTTACATCTTTCATTATTTTCTCCACTTTGGGATTTAATGAAGTCTTATCTGAGGTCCCTGCTAATACTTCTACCTGCTCATTTCTTGAGGCGTCTGGGTGGGGACACGCTGAAATGTCTTCCTTTTTTTCCAAAGTTTTGTTTGATTGTATTTCTTCCTTTTTAAGGTTGGTGGCATTAACCCTCTGTTTACCCTGACGTTTTCCATTCTTTTGCAGACCCCTTTTAAGAGGACCCAAAGGGGCACTAGGTCCTCTATTTATCAATGAATGCAAGAAAAGTGGCAGAGGATGTACTGGAAACTGATATGGCGGTTGAGATGATGGGAAGGTCGGAGGGCAGGACTGATTTTGGGATGGAGGGAGAGTTGCAGAGTTGGGTGGAGAGTGAACTGATGGGTGAGATAACTTGTGGGGTGGAGCAAGGTCTTGATGTTGCTGCACACCTGGGCCATGGCTAGAGTGGGAGGGTCTGACTGCTGATATACCTGCAACTGGTTTACCTTTGGGGTGAGATGGCCATACTGGGTGGTGGCTAGGCATTGGCATGGTGGCTGGTGGTGATGTCTGCCCTTCCTTAACCTTTGTCTATAAAGATATAATGTTTTATAAATCAGAATGAAAACATTGTTCTATTTTATTTACTGTATTAAAATATATAAATCATAAACTGTACAGGTAAAATATTTTATCACGAAATACTAAACTGATGTTGATGAAAATATTTCATCTAATTGTACCCCAAGAGCACTTTGAGCCTGCCTACACATCCACGCCCTTAGCACGTGTCGGCACTTGATGCAATCTCTCGGAAATATTTTCAAATGTCCGGAATGGAGAGAGAATTCTCGGAATACTTAAAAAAAATTCTGGGCGACAGAGAGTTCTAGGGATTGTAGATTCTGTCTAATGGAGAGATTATCTACTTATTGGACAAGGGTAACACTAATTGGCTTCTCTTGTGGGGGAATAAAAATAGAATAAAGAATGAAAATCAAATTAATGAAAAATTTCATGCATATGCTATCCACAAAACATTGCACTAGAAGGATAAAAACCATCATGCAGGCATGAACACAGAAACTGATACTGTACAGTACTCACCACAACATTCCTGAAGGCTTTTGTTACATGCTGGTCCACTCTCCGAGAGATAAGGTATTTGTCTTCATCAAATCTGGAGAGAAAAATACGAGTTACAGAGAAAAGTTCCCATTAATATGAAAATACCGTACAATTTACAGCACCGCGTTTGTGTGTACAGGAAGAGTCAGACGATATACTGTACTTATGTATTAACTGCTACCTTCTACTGCTTGTGATAATTGTTCAACTAAAATGGTATTTCTTATAGTCAATGAAAAGTAGTACAGGTACATGAAATTTTCTTTGTGAAATCTTCTACAGAAAATTTTACAGTTAATAGCAAATAATGTACTTCGTAATCACCTTTTCAGTTCTATACCAAACATACAAAATCAACTTACGAGCCAGTAGATATTCCTTGAAGAATGGATGACAAGCGTGATGGTGGTGACCCTAGCAAATCACTTATATCTCTGGTTCTCCTCAGCTCCTCACGTACATCTTCAGCCCACTTCTTGATGCTCTCTAAGTCATCCATGTTCATGGTGGTATCCCTGCCTTCATCTTCAAGATTTTGTATGGGAGGTTCCTGGGTCACTGTATTGGTATCCTCAAGCATCATTCTAATCCTGGATGTCTCACCTCCCATGTTCCCAATGGGTGGATCAAATGGCAAGTCACAGGGTTCAGTCGGGGATAAGATAGTGGGTGGGGAGATGGATAATGGTCTATGAGGAGCTGTGGCAGATATACAGAGAGGAACTCTAGGAGATGATGGTGAAGAACATTGTGATGAAGCTGTAGGAGAAGACCTTGATGATGAACTTTGTGATGTAGCTGTTGGAGAAGGAGACCTTGATGATGAACTTTGTGATGAAGTTGTTGGAGAAGGTAACCTTAGAGATGTAACTCTTGGTTCTGGTTTCACTGGTGCTGTTGATGCAGGAGGAGCATATACTGAAGACCTCTCTGAAGATTTTGCTTCCTGGACTTGACGTGTGGTCTGACCACTGTGTTTTTCTTTGACTGCTCTTTGAGTAGGTGGTGGGCAGCTGGGGATAATATGCTTCAACTGTGGAAAAAGAGGTAATGTTTAATCTTTTTAAACTGCTATGGAAAAACACATTTACAGCTGCATTTTTTTTTCATTAATTTACTGCATAAAATAAATAAACATTATACATCACTTCACTAAAACTTTTAACTGTCATGAATGAAGTACTGTACAGTACCTATAATTCTCTAGTGTACCTGGTTCTTAATATTCTAGGTTCTTGATCTCAAATGAATGATGCACCCTGACAAAGTGGCTCTTTTTTAGAAAGTAAATAAATACTATAAAAGTTTTTTTTCAAAAATATTATTCTCAAATAGCCATCTGTGGTATAATAAGTAAAATTACAAATACTGTAGATTTTTGTAAAAGATGGCGGTTAATATTGATGATTAACCTACCGGCACATTATTTGTTTTGATGTTTATCGATCTAAATAAAACAAAGAAGTATGTCTGTGTGTGTGTGTTTGTTTCTGTGTGTGTCCGCACGAGAATCTCGGAAACTACTTTACCGATCTGTAGTGATGATGGATGGTGTTATATGTAGTGATGATGGGTGGTGTTATATGTAGTGATGATGGATGGTGTTATATGTAGTGATGATGATGGATGGTGTTATATGTAGTGATGATGGATGATGTTATATGTAGTGATGATGGATGTTGTTATATGTAGTGATGATGAATGGTGTTATATGTAGTGATGATGGATGATGTTATATAGTGATGATGGGTGGTGTTATATGTAGTGATGATCTATATCTATATAAAACAAAGAAGTCTGTCTGCGTGTCACACGATCTGAAACTACTTTACCGATCTGTAGTGATGATGGATGGTGTTATATGTAGTGATGATGGATGATGTTATACAGTATGTAGTGATGATGGATATTGTTATATGTAGTGATGATGGGTGGGGTTATATGTAGTGATGGATGGTGTTATATGTAGTGATGATGGATGGTATTAAATGTAGTGATGATGGATGATGTTATATGTAGTGATGATTAGACAATAAAATAATAATAGTTTAATGCTAAAAAAATATACTTTGCTGTACCATAGTAGTGAAAAACATGGTGAACTTACGTACATCGTTAATGAACTATTGATGGAAGAAGTTTTGGGGACTGAACAGTGAGACAATGTGGAGCCTCCGGAGGGATGGCGTCTAGATGCCCTGCAGATGGCTGGCGATTCTGCTAGTATTCTTACTATAATCATATTTTTTGGGGGTGAAACTGCTTCGTTTGCTAGATAATTAGGCGGCTAGGAGCACGCTACTTTGTCTGGCATGGACTACTTTGTCTTTCTCGGCGGTAATGGCGAGAACATTCCCACCAAACACATTGATGGCTCCAAACAACGCAAGAGTTGTTTTTTTTTTTATGGGGAACAGCCCACCTGGGCACAGGTCATTGACCCACAGGGGGGGCCTCCGGGACGAAAAAATAAGAGTAAAAACAAATACAAAATAAAAAGAAGATCATATTAATCTTCACCATGAAGATGCCGTGCCAATAGGACAACAAAAGCAATTCTAGACTTTATATTCCACACAAAGCCTGTTAATAGTGCTTGTTAGCGTGAACCTCCATTGGGGATTGCCCGTGACAGCTATGTGGTCGAAGTAGCATTTTACCGAATCCAGCTAGAGCGGTGATATGATAGATCCTGTTCACACGAAGGTCAAGGGTTTGGTTCCCGACTGGTGAAGAATATGGACCGATGATATATATATACAGTATATATATATATATATATATATATATATATATATATATATATATATATATATATATATATATATATATATATATATATATATATATATATATATATATATATATATATATATATATAAAGAAATCACTGTAGGTGTTGCGTGATCTGTACTCACCCTGAAGATGTGAATTACAGCGCTTAGGAACTTCGTGTTTCTTTCCTTGTAGTTATCAGCAAGCATATATATATATATATATATATATATATATATATATATATATATATATATATATATATATATATATATATATATATATATATATATATATATATATATATATATATATATATATATATATATATATATATACATGTGCGTTGCGTCCCAACGAACAACATCCATTGCAATATGTCCGTGCCCCCTACACTTCTGACGCCTGCTGGACCACCTCCACGACACCTTGACGGAACCGATAGTCCTCCCCATATGGCAGATATTATGTGTTAAAGGAATATCATTCCTTCCATAGGCATTTGCCTCCAGGTGTAATGTTAACCTACATCTATTGAGGATAAAATCTTCACCTACAAATTGACATTAACAGATTTTCTGTAATCAGACATATCTAGTAGCCTCAACAATTGCAACCCCAGTTGCAATTGGGGTTGCAATTTCAAATTCTGTGTCATTACTAAGGAATAACGAAGTCTCTGGTGCACTGCACTCTAAGATTAAGAGAAAATGGACGACTCAGGCGTCCTGAAGTGAGAGAAAACGGACTCCTATGATGGGGCACTCAAATAAAGAGACATGGCTACATGTTTTGTGGACTACCCACTTTACAGTATTGATCGTATCCTTTTCATCACTTTGTAATAAACCTAGCCATGCCTATGTGTGTTAATGATATTTACCATAATATTATATATATATTTAGTGGGTCTAAATGGTCGTAAAATGGGAAACTTGGGGTTGGGTGCCTGGAACCAATTAGAATAAATCCCATAGGTTTATGTAATTTCGGACAACGTCCATTTCGGTTAACATCACGTTTCCAAGAACGTATCTAGGACGTTAACCGGTGCATAACTTATATATATATATATATATATATATATATATATATATATATATATATATATACATATATATATATATATATATATATATATGTATATATATATATATATATATATATATGCATATATATATATATATGTATATATATATATATATATGCATATATATATATATATGCATATATATATATATATGTATATATATATATATATATATATATATATATATATATATATATATATATATATATATATATATATATATATATATATATATATATATATATATATATATATATATATATATATATATAGGCTATATATTGGTAATTTTATTGGTTAAGATACTAAAAATATATACATTTCTGACGGAAACGCTTTAGAACAAATATTTTTATTTTATTTTCTTTCTCTCTATATAAGGTTCAATATAGTATAAGTAGGCATTGGCAAATTCTATATATTTACCGATATTGGAAGCATAATGTGTTGTCTAATGGTAGACCCTGCTGCCGTATGGCATCACAAAAATTGTGACAAAGTTCCAGGTTACTGATCCTTCTTTCTGCCTCATTTACACAAATGCAGTGTCTCAAATGTTTCTCTTACTTTGACAACATAACATATCGTCTCACCCTTGATATTTTTTCAGTTTTGTAATTATTTATGGTTATTATTATTATTATTATTATTATTATTATTATTATTATTATTATTATTATTATTATTTAAAATTATTATTATTATTTGATTTAATTTGTTATTAATTTGGATTATTTTTATTAGATTGATTTTTTTATATTTCTCATTTTTATTATTGTTTTGGGTAATAATACAAATAATGATTATTTTTTAATCACAACAGTGAGTAACAGAGGACTAATCGACAGCCTGGATAATAAGTGGTATATTAAAAAAGGTGATCTCCCGCACACATCTCCAAGTGAGAACCACACCACTAATGTACACATAAATGAGGAACTTCCGGTGCATTGTCAGTCAGTTTCCCATCGACCTGTCACGTGTTATGAAACTCCATTGTTTATACCGAAATGCGCCATATTGTCTCCACAAAATGGCGTAAAATTCTTCCTCTATTCAAATACTATGCCTCAAAATCCCATGTTAATATATGTAACACTATTAATCACTAAAAGTGCAAACAAGAAAAGAAAAAAGTAACAGCAACAAAAGCCTAATTGTTCATAAAACAAAATAATTCCACGCCATTGTTAATCGCAAATTGTTCACCGTTGTACTGTACAGGAAGTCTCCGAGCCATGCTAGGCTATTTTCCTAAATTTCATATCTCTCCAAAGTAATTTTCAACCTGTTGTGAGGTATGCTGTCATAAACATTCCAGGAAATGTGTCAGTATATCAGTCAAGCAGGAGCGTCTCAGTATACTCGTAAATTCGTGCTGGCATTCTTTTACAAGGTTGTTCCTTTGTAGATGGTCGTCATGGCATTGTGTAAATGTTTTCTAACACTTTACAAGCTATGCAGGTTAAACACACTAGACTGTACTTATTCACGTAGTGGCGATCTCCCTTTTTGAATATAGGACTCGCATATACTACTTTCCAGTCATCAGGGACCTCTTGTACGTTTACACTTCTGCAGAATTTTTTTTACGGGGCTCTGAGCGCTTGTAACACAACTCTCTTAATTATCACTTGGATGCACACAAGCAGTGCCAGGGCTTTTACGAACTATAAGTCAAAATAATGTAGATCTAACACTCTTGTGAGAACTTTACATACGGCAGTGCTGTGCCGATTAAGCCTAGTTTACTAAAAAGGGTATACCCATCCTCTCTTGTAAACATCGAGTTAAAATACTCATTAATGCCTTCTTCGCTTTGCCCTGGTCCGTGTACACATAACCACCTTCTTTAAGTCTCGGATCAACACCCATACCTGTCAATCTTAATTTTGAGAGACGATAGAAAGCTTTGGAATTTGACTGGATCATAGTTGTAATTCACCTCTGATTTTCTGCCGTTCTACACTTAGTTTGAGTTCCGAACCTATTAAACAGTACATCTTTCTGTCTTGAAACTTGGTGATTTCTCCTCAATTTTGGTAAGTACCGGTTGGTTTTGGATGATGGCTTCCTGTGTTTTGTTGAGAATTACCGGTCTTGGTCTTGTCTGTATATATATTAATCAATATTCAGTTTTATCCTGTTTAATTTTCCAGGAAAGTTCC